GTGTGCTGAGATTGAAACTTTTCACCTCCAGCAAATCTTTGTTGCACGGTCCAAACAAACATAGTGAGCAACTGAGCTACTAGTATATGTCCGTGTTAAAACACACGAAAGGACTCTAAAGCACACTTCACTCTGATTGGGCAGAAAAGCACAAAGATTTTCTGGCACCAATCAGATTGCAGAACGACTGCGACCGTTTGGAACTAGTCTTGTAAGACAATGTCCCCAGGGGCTCTTCATGCCCTAACTTGAAATCGACTCAGCCCCTGGGTCTCCGAGGATGAATCTTTTGTAACCAGATACTTGTTTTGTTTGTACAGCTAATAGTTGATTAATGGACACGGTAACATTGACTACCATAGTCGCACGTACATTAGACTGATGAGTCCTTTTTCGACGCGGAGACGTCGATGAGGTTGTGTTTACGAAGCTAGTGGGTTTACGATACGAGGTCATTTTCTTTGTACACTAGGACGAATCAATTAAACGAATCAATTGCAATACAAGTCTCGAAGTTTACGACAGGTAGTGATTTTGCCTCATAAATGTAATTTTTTTTTTAATTTCATTGCAATTCCATTTTTGTGAGACTTTTGTCTCATACAACAAGACATTCCGCGTTTTAGGATATTCCGCCATCCCGCCGCTCCACCGTTCTATCATCCTGTCGAATAGGGTAACGCTGTTAAACTCCGGACCTTGATTGCTTCGCAAATTTAAAGACGCTTTAGCTTTAGGGCATTAGTACTGACTGAAATGGTAAAATGCTTTCTCTTCGACTAAAGAAAATGTTTCTTCCGAGATATCACATGCCGCCGGAGACGCCACTGCGAAAATTATTTTGGGGTGTTTATCATCTTTTTCGGTGTCACGGCAAGAACTAACAAAAATTATATTCGGATCTACCGGGCATAATTCGTTGATTCAAACGGCAAGATCCTCTCTTCTCTCTCCTAGGTAAAATAACTAATAACGATTATTGTATGGTAAATATACTATCTTTATCGCTGAATTAGAACAATGAGAGGAGTCACGTGACCAATGGCTACAACCGTAAAATAAGCAACTAGCTTGGTTGAGTGGTGGTAAACGTATTTTAAATAAAATTGATATCAAACATACCCAATAAATGAAAACAGAACGGCCGTTCTGTCTTGGATTGGTGGCTCGATTTTGCTAAAGAACCGGCTGTTCAACACGGGTACCAGCAACTATTTTAGTTTTCACGTGACGTCATAAAAATTAAAAATAAGGAATTGTTGATCCTTATGAGATTTAAGTTTAGTTAATTACTAGTACAGCTGAAGACTTATCATTTTACGAATTTTCAGTTTGATCGGGTTTTCCTCTTGTGATAAAGCAAGGTTGAATTTCTAAGCTTTTACTTGACAATTTCAAAATGCTGTTACGTAGGTTAAAAAAATTGACTTATCTGCTGAGATTTCGCAAACTGAACAGGCCTTCTATGGGAACTAGTACTCATACAAGGACTATGAGCCCTCACAAGACGACTTCAGGCTATTTATGACAAAACACCGGCCGCCATATTAGTGTCCCGTCTTCAAACAAAGCCGTATAAATTTGGGTGAAACATTTCTTCGAATATCTCCCGCACAAGACATCGCATAGACCTGAATCTTTCCGAAACTGTTTGAATATTCATCTCATCTTACCTCTTTGATTCTCGAATTTGTTTGTTCAATTGTTTTGATGATGGTGTGACAGTGAAAACCGACAATATATTTTTCACCTAATGATCTAATAGAGTGACTTTACATTTCAGCTTGAAGGAGCGTAAACAGGAGTTTTCAACTTGGGACCTTACGCCATAGACATCTTGAAATTTGATCAAAACCAAGTAATTCTATTCTTAGAAAATACTTTCCAAAACAGGAGTCAAGGATTGCGCCCTTGCAAAACAGACCACCCGTATCTTTCTCGAAGAACATCTATACGAAAGGAAATCGCGCATCNACCAACACAAATGCAGTCTTTGGCTGGAAAAGAGGTAAACAACTGTATCTTCGATAGTGTTTTGCCAGATTTGTTTTTTGTTACGTCTCGACGGTCCCAGATACTTCTTTGCCGCTTCTGAGTTGCGAGTATTTTTACGAAAGGTGACAAATTTCTTTCAGAATGAGCTACCTTCGATTGACTCAGCCGCTGTCAGATATGTTTGCGAAGATGTTGTCCATGACCGGGAAAATTCGTACAGATTTTTTTGTGCTCGTCTAACCGATCTCTCTTTTTCTAGTGCCTATTTCCTTCAGAAGGGGAAAAATATGCGCACGTGATTGCACGTAACTGTTCGCTTTCCTTTGTTTACATAATTTGACGTGCCAGTGTACAATTTAGTCACAAAAAAACTTACGGCTGCCCGTGCTTGTTCTTATATGATCTTTAATAAAGGTATTCAAAGGCGAAACAACATAAACAACTGGACGAAATGACAAGGAAGGTACAGGTCGTTGAACAACAATAGCGTCGATTTGAAGATGACAAAGGGATATGAGGCAAAAATCGAGCAAACAAACGACTCGTCCCTAAGGAATTTTTTTGCTCTCTAAACACGTCACCAGCCTAAACCAGGGTCTCTCCTCGCTCACTCCAGGGGGCGGTAAGATGAGAGACCCTGGGAACGAGGTTGATTCAAGCTCTGTTAGCTGGTATTTACATATGCGTATTAGCTTAACATATCTTGAAGAAGGGAGTCCTTGAATAAATCAAGCCTTTTCATGACTGGTCACGCGTAGCTCCCAAGATCAATAGCCTACTGTCACACGTATGATTGATGTGATGTAGCTTTCTTCGGACGAAACGACAGATTTTCATCAGGTTATAATCATTTGAGCCGCATGATATACCAACCATGTTTTGGTAGATGTTCTGTTCATACTTCTCGGCCGAAATGTCGTCTTCATTCACTCATCAGATCCACCTTAATATGGTATATTTGAACGTCATTTTATTTCCTGTGGAATGTGCTTACGAAGCACCTATTTTGCTTTCCTCTAAGATACTCATTCTTGCACGTCTTCAATTTGTGAAAGATAAAAACTAATCAACCGCATTTGAAGCAGGAAATTCCATCGCTAAAAGTGTTGAAATTGACTTTAAATCGTCATGAAAAATCAACCACATAATATAAATGAGAACAATAGAGATCATTTTTTATCGCCACAAGGGGCAAACCTCAGACATGTTTTAAGCTGAAAATACCAAACTGTTTTCAATGTTTCGTAATTAGCCCAAATGAATGATTCAGTGTATTAGATGAAAGGAAAACAGATGAGGCTAAGAAATTATCACACACAACTGACACGATCAGTATGCTAGTACGACCACAAAAGGCTCAAGGACGCCATTAACGCATTTGAATTTGTTTACCTTCCAACTGATCGCATTTAGCAGGATACATCTCGCCCTAAACTGTAACTAGGTTTCTAGCTGACATGTCAGAGACGCTGTCTTGTCTATCATTTTTCAGTTCACTCTTGATCAGATTCAAAGGAAGGCGAGGAAAAATGCACAAGTAATCATTGATCTTTGCTGCCCTGCAGCGGAGCCGTGAAACACTGTGTACATTTGGGGGGCCGTCACAAAGAGTATTTCAGAATGATTTCATGAAACAAACCCGCCAGTCTTTCGAATTACACAGAGGTCAAGGTCATTTTCTGACATGAATTTTTGTGATCATTTGATTTCTTATAACTAAACTGTCTTCATAACTCGCAAGTAGGTGCTATTCAGTTCAACTGAATAACGACTTGAAAGCTCATCTGCAGTTAATATCAGACCCCAGTCAATTCAATTTAAGTATTCACGAACTGGCTTAAGTCTACCTTGAGTAGAGGATGATAAATGTCTTTGCATTGCCATCTGATGACACACTTCCCTATTTATGAAGAACACCAATGCAATGGACGATAAAGGTTTAAGAATTTCTAAGGAGCAGGCTAATATAAACCATCGTCATGGGACTAAACGCAAATTTGTATAGGCGTTACTGTGTATGATTTTGGAGTCTTAAGGTCAATAACGGCCATGGGTGTGTTACAAAAACGAAGACCCTCGAAAACGAAGACCGAAGACCTAAGACCCGGTCTTCGTTTTCGCAATACGAAAACGAAGACCCTGTAAACAGAAAACCGTAGAAATTACAAGTTAAACACGTATTAAACAGCAACAACGCTTATTAATATAATACATTACACTTCACGCGTTTCTTCCCATTATTATACTGCCGGTACTACTGGCCCGTCTTGTCTGTTCTGTTTCGCTATGCGAGCCAGTTTGGTGTTGATATTCTCGAGGGTTTCCTCGGTTAAACTTACCACACATATTATTATTCTGGAACAGCAGGCAGAATTCGAACGCTAGCCGCCCTTGATATATAGTTAGCACTGCGTGACAGAATAACAGAGAAGGCATTGTGTACAGGAAAAATGACTCTTTGGTTTTGTCAACAAATAATCGATTTTTACTGTATTTCGTCGCTAAAATGGATTCTGACGGTCGTTAAGCCTTCTCTGCCGGAAAATTCTTGTTAAAAAGTAAGCAATTCTTTCGGCTAATGCAGGGTCTTCGTTTTCGTACTACGAAAACGAAGACCCTTTATTAAAAGCCTGAATAAAGCCTGCTTAACCTTATTAAGGCCCTAAAAATATTCCGATCACTCCTTCGATGGGAATGTCTGTTCCAAATTTGGACTCATCGTAGAAAAACAAATCCAAGAGTCGGAAGCAGTGGTGGTTGAAGAAAGAACAAGAAAAACCACGCGCGAACTGTCTTAACATATCAAAAGTTGAAATAACAACTACTAGTGCTCAGGGTACGTCTGCAATCGTACTTTCAAAGGATTTTCTGCTTTCAATAAAGGGTCTTCGTTTTTGTAGAACGAAAACGGAGACCGGGTCTTAGGTCTTCGTTTTCGAGGGTCTTCGTTTTCGTAACACCCTAACGGCAATACATGTTTAGCGAGGAATATAAAGTATGAAATCTTCCCAATTTTTTCCATAGCCGCTTTGTCATTTACGGTCCTTTTAACGCTGTTTTGGCGACTTTCTTTGTAACGCGTGTGGTAGCTAACTGTATGTAGTAAAACACAAGGTTAGAAATTTGAACCAGTCCGGAACACCGACCGTCGCCGCTCGAAGGCTGATCAATTCCACAATAGTCAACCGATCTCAATACAGCTAACCCTTTGAGCGGCAAAAGTTTCCAAGTTCCACTGCATCGATCCGAGAGCCGCTCCGTTTTACCACCCATTCTGGCTAAATTGCTTTGTAGGTACGCATTGTCCTTTTGCTCGTACTACGGGATTCAAATTTCGAAGCGCATCTGACCGAATGAAGACTCTCCAGGGAATCAATAGGAAGGTTGTTACTTTTGTCTGGGGAGTCGTGCGTGTAATAGGCCATTTTACAGTTGTGTACTTAGTTGCCAAGCCCTTGATTTGGAGTGAGGCTGAAGGTGACCTTGTCATGATAGAGACCTGTATTTAGTTAGCATGATAACAAAGTGATTTACATTCATAGCCAGAAATTGTGGACGGCAAGCGGCAGTCAACGCAGGCGCAAAAAACAAAATAAATCAAAATGGAGGTTAGAGCGAATAAAAGAGTAAGTAAGGGCTATTACAAGGATTTAAATGATGTGAGCACTGCTGTTGAAAATAAAGTGAATAAAAAAACCTTCTTGGGTGAGTTGGAATACCAAAATAAAATATCTCACCTTCACGGTCATCAACCTCTTGAACCTTTTCTTGGCCTCTGACAAGATAGTACCATTCTTTAATGGTGCTATAGGCCAAGGCAATTGTCAGGGCTATTTTTCTTGCTTCTCTGTCTCTTGCATATTACAGTGAGATGTCCACAACGTTGATTTTCCAAGGTTCAAATTATTTAACTGGCGGATATCAGACATGGCGCAGATGAATATAATTATTTTAGCAAAAAATCCCCCTCCGCGTTCCCGCTTTTTCTCGAAATTTATATTCAGCGGGTTCTCTATTTTAGTCTAAATACGTCGTGTATGGGGAATTACCAAGAAAAACAAAGATGGCTACCAAATAGCTGCCGAGGAGAAGGAAAACAAACCGTCTATGGAACGTTTTCCCCTCAATGATGGCGCCGATTCCACATTGGTCTCACTATCAAAGAAGCCCGCTTTTCGTTTTGAAAAGGCAGTGCCCTAGAGTGTGTTTTATCGAGAGAAAACGTTTGGTTTGCAAAGGTTACATTTCATCTCTTGATTGGGAAGCCGGGAAAACTTGTCGGGACAAGAACGTGTTCTCCTCAGAAAGGCATGAAGTTAAGTGATTTTTGAAGAGGTTAGTAAGGGCTTCATTGTGTTTGTCTAGAGTTCTTTTGATCGCAAAAGGCAGTGGCTTGACTGAAATTATATTCATTTCTTGTGCGATAAAAATGTAGTTTGATTATTGCTTTATCGATTTTTAAGCTGGGGAAAGTACCCATTTGAGTGGAAATTACAAAAATTAGGAACGTAAAAAATCTCCCCCATATTTCCTTTATGTTCTGCCGCCATATTTAATCTCTTTTCGTGTTATTTGCGCATTCTTACGGCCAAGTTGGCAGCCATGTTGTCCGAAATTTCTGGCTATGTGAAAGGCAGCAAGGTGTGTATCATAACAAGGTCACCCTCAGCCTTACTCCCATTCAAAGGCTTGGCAACCAAGCACACAACTGTAGAATGGACCATTCGACCGAATGCATCCCGTAGTAAGGGCAAAAGGATTACGCGTACCTACAGCGAGGAGTTTTTTATTTACTTACATTGCAACAAGTTGTTGGACAATACAAAATGTGGACTGAAGTACTGTTTTGGTTTACGCAATTTATGTACCGCTAGAATTCACGCGACTAAGCTGTGCGGTAATATTTCATGTAAGTCATTTACAGGAACGTTTTTTTATCCAGAATTTCTTTTCATACCACATGCTTAATGAGAAAATTACTTAACGAGTCTTTTTAGTGCATGCTTACATACAATTTTTAGTCAACGAATGAAAATAGGACTTTTTGTTGCCATTTGAAAATCAAAAACGCTGTTGTATGGAAATTCAATATAACGGCCTCTTCAAATGAAACTATTCTTTCATGTTTACAAAGCCAAGCCGATTCACAAACGTCTAACGACTAACCGCGGTTTATCGTTAGCATGAAAACCTTGGTGCTAAATGTCTATTATGACTGATTCCAAACTTTGAGGAAGTAATACATTGAAACTCAGTAACAAAGTGGTTTTGCTTTTATTAAAAAATGAAAAGGAGCCTAGTAGTTTAATGTTACAACTTAAATGTGATTAGTGTTATGTTTTCCAAGTAATGCCAGAATTATTCAGACCTTAACATTTCATGGCTTCCTGTAAGCTTGGCAGCTACCAAAATTAAGTACGCTTTTAGTATACTACTTCTGTAATCAAAGTGTACTACAAAAAAGATACACAAAGTATACTTTCAGTAGACTTGAAGTCTAGTTTACAGAGCTTCTAAAAGTATACTTGTAATATACTTGTTCCCACCTGAAATCGGAACACCCAAAAGTATACTTGAAGTAGACTTGAAAGGTACTGAGAATTTTGCAGTGCACTTCAAGCATACCTCACGAGTAAAACCCCTAGTGGCAAACTGACTAGACTAGAATACACTCTAAGTATACTTTAAGTATACTTAGAGTGTATTCAAGACATTATGAATGAACGGCAGTATACTTAAAGTGTACTTCCCTTGCAAACTGGATCTTGGAATTCCCAAAAAAACCTAGAAATTCCCAAAAAAAACCTAGAAATTCCCAGAAAAACCTAGAAATTCCCAAAAAAACCTAGAAATTCCCAAAAACTTCATGTTTATAGCGAACAGGACTTGGAATTCCAAGAAATTCCTGGGAATTCCAAGGAATATTCCCAGGAATTCTTAGGAATTCCAACTCAGAGCACCAATGACTTCCCTGAAATACTGTGAATCTAAAAACTTGCAGGAAATTCCTAGGAATTTCTAGCAATGGTTAAGAATTATTGGGAACTTTAGGAAAACTTCAAGGCAACTAATATCAAATAAATACATGCATTAACTCCCAGTTAAAAATTGAAGTTGTGAATGAAATTTATTTACATGCACCGTCAGTGTGAAGTACTTATTCATGCCCTTATTTCGTCAAAGTTGGATTATTGTAACGTTCTTCTATCTGGCCTACAGCAGTCACAAATTAATAGACTACAACGTACAAAATTCAGCCGCCCGCCTACTCACAGCCACCAGCAGATATGATCACATTACGCCTATACTTAGAAGCCTTCATTGGCTGCCTGTGTCCGTCCATGTTGATTTTAAGATACTTCTCGTTTTAAAGTATTAAATGGTCTGAGTCCTCTGTATCTTAGTGAACTGTTAAGACCGTACATTCCTAATAGAAACCTAAGATCTTCTAAGAAAAAACTCTTAATGGTACCTAAATGCAATCTTAAAACATATG